GTCTCCTGGTGATTGGCCCAGTCACCCAGCTGACTTTCATACCTAAGGCAGGACTAGAACTCCCAGTCTCCTGGTAATTGACCCAAAGCCATCCAGTTAGCTTTCATGCCTAAGGCGGGACTAGAACTCCCAGTCTCCTGGCGATTGGCCCAAAGTCCCTAGCTGGCTTTTCTAGGGGGAAACTAGAACTCCCCGTCTCCTGGTGATTGGCCCAAAGTCACTCAGCCAGTTTTCATGGCTAAAACAGGATTTGAACTCATGTTCAAGTTACATATACAGATAGTTCTCGACTTACATCCATGCGTTTAGTGACCCCTCTAAGTTACAGCAGCATTGGTACAAAAGTGACGTATGACCGTTTTCCACACTTATGACCGTCGCTGCCATCCAACAATCACGTGACCAAAATTCAGATACCTGGCAACTGACTCATATTTATGACGGCCGCTGTGTCCCACGGGGTCACGTGATCCCACCTTCTGATGAGCGAAGTCAACGGGGGAAGCCGGATTCACTTAACAACCCCGTGACGGCGATGATTCACTTAACAACGAGGGCACCGAATGTCGTCAAACGGGGCAAATCTCACCCCTAAGGCCTGTCTGGCTTGGCAGCGGGGATGTCTGGTTTCAATTGCGATTCCCTTAACCGCCTCGTCAAGGAAGGTCGTAAAACGGGGGCAAAGCTCGCTTTACGACGGCCTCGCTTAGCCACAGGAGGTTTTGGGGCCCACCGTGCGGTCGTTCGGTTGAGGACTTACTGTACGGGTTGAAGAGCTACAGCTGGCGGTCGGAGGGTGATACAACCCTGGGGGCTTTGGGACCCACAAGCAACAATGAGCAAAAAGACACACACAAACACACAAACACACAAACACACAAAGGCCAGACTTACCTGCTCACTGCTGGATTCCAAACTCGGGTGCACCACACCTTTTAAGGTGATACCTGTCCCCAAACCTGCCTTCCTGGGGAGATGGGGAGGGAGGAAGGGAGAAGAGGGAGGGGTGAGAAGCAGCTTCACAACTCTTTCTAGCCCCCCTCCCCAAAGCCCCTCCCTCTAAAAACACGCAGCGGCCACCAACGGTCACAAAAAATGAGATTTAAAATGTGCTGAGCCACGGGCGACTCACGGGGAACGACACAACCCCCCCCCCGCCCCCCGGCTCACAAAACGGAACGATTTTTTATTTTTTTTGACGTCGATGGGAATTTGGGGTTCGATGGGACAAATGACGGACAGATGGAGAACAAAATAAATAAATAAATAAATAAATAACCAAAACCCCTCAATTTCGACGGGCAACAGAGAAATAACGGAGAGGAACTCACTGACGCAAAACGGAAGCTGATCTTCCCGGTAGCTTTGAAAAATAATAATAATAATAATAACAATTCTATATATATAAAAATGGCTGTGTGTGTGTGTATGTATGTTCTAGCATAACTCTGGAAGGCCTCGACCAATTTCAACCAAGACACCCCTAAAACCCCCAGGGAGTCTGTGTTCTGTTAAGATAAATCCTGTTGTGCCGTAAAATGGCTTCTACAGTACTGCTGTAAAATGGCTTCTACTCTACAGCGCAGTGGAGTTCCCATGGTAACGGCTTCACAGTACTCCACAAGGGGGCTCCCTCTGGTAAGAGGGGAAAACCCAACATTAGAAATTACGTTTGATCCAAACATTTTTCCCCCTATAAATTAATACCCGCCGAGTTATCGGCTAGTAATAAATAAAAAAAGGAGACGGATTGGCTGGAAAAAGACAAATCACAGGTAGTCCTCACTTAACGTTTAGTGACCGTTGGAAGTTGCAGCGGCACTGGATAAAGGGACTTAAGGCCGTTTCTCCCACTCATAGCCGTCGGGCAGGTGATCAAAAGTCAGACGCTTGAACACTGACTCGTATTTACGACCCACTGGGATCACATGATCCCCTTCTGCGACCTTCTGATGAGGAAAGGTTCAGTGGGGGAAGAGTCAGATTCGCTTAACGACCGCGGGACCCCCCCCCCTTAACAACGGCAGGGATTCCCTTAACAAGCGCGGCAAGGAAGCTCAAAATCCACTCAGCCTATGTCTCCCTTAGCAACGCCCATTTGGGGGGCTCAACCGTGGTCGTAAGTCGAGGACAACCCCGTAGATAGAGAGCCTCCAGCGGCGGGAGCAGTTTACCTCCGAGAACGGAGGCGTTTTGCTACCACTTAAGAGGGAGATTTCTGGAGAATAAGTTGGTCTAACCCAGCGAGAGGCCGGATTTGCTGACGACCTGCAATCTTTTTAAGGCGGTGGGGAAGCCATGATGGCTTGTTGAACATCCTGGCTTAGTTGTAGCGGGGGGGGGGGAGGGAGATGATGCGTACCTGCGGACCCGTTTCCCTGCCTCGCTGACCAACAAACCAGCATTGCCGAAGGGGTTCTTGATGGCTTGTTGCAAACCACGAAGCTGGTTCCCGGCGTTCTGGACCGGAAGGAAAAGTGGACGGACGGGTTTAAACCTGGATTTTGTTACTCGCGATCCTTCCGAGTTGGCTGACCCGCTTACCGCTCCATCGGCTAACAAGTCAGCACCGCGTCACCCCTCTGGTTTAATGCGGGTTCCCCCAAATCTCGCCGGTCCCTAAAAGCCCCCCCCCACCCCCTCACCTGGAACCCGTAGAGAGCGATGAAAAGCCGCAAGATGTCATTGGTGCCTTCGAAGATGCGGAAGATGCGCAAATCTCTCATCACTTGTTCCACGCCGCCTTCCTGCAACCACGGAAATCAGGTGGAAGGAAGAGGAGGAAGGGAAAAAGGAACCAAAGGAGGAGGAAGAGAAAGGAAAAAGAGAAAAAGAAAAGAAAAAGAGGAGAAAGAGAAAGGAAAAGGAGAAGGGGAAAGAGGAAGAGAAAAAAAAGAGAAAGAGAAGAAAGAAAAAGAGGAGAAAGAGAAAGGAAAAACAGAAAGAAAGAAAAAGAGGAGAAAAAGAAAGGAAAAGGGAAGGAAAAACAGAAAAAGAGAAAAAGAAAAAGTGGAGAAAGAGAAGAGAAATATTATTACCTCACGGGAATAGATTCTAAAAGCCCAGTCAAAAACACCTTCTTGGAGATGGTGCTGAAGAGGTTAAGAAGCAAGTTTGTTAAGCGGTGGGGGGGGGGGTGTCGTTTCCCACTGTAGCCGAAGCTAACTTGAAACCTGGATAGTAGCCCCCCCCCCCTTTCTCCCTACACCCCCCCACCCCCCTGGAAAAACTGACCTTCATGAAGCCCATGCCGCCCATCGTCTGGATGCATTCGTCCGACACGCTCCAGGCGGCTTCCTGGAGATGGCGGGAAAAAGAGAGATAAAAGCCATATTGACTGACGCCCTCTTGACGTGACAGACAGGTGTCCTTCCTTCCTTTTTCTACCTTCCTTCCTTCCCTCCCTCCCGCTTCCTTCATTTCTCCTTCTTCCTCCCTCCCCTCTTCTCATCCTCATCTTCTTCCCTTCCTCCTTCCCTTCCTTTTTCTATCTTCCTTCCTTCCCCATTTCTTTCATTTTCCGTCCTTCCCCATGTTTCTCTTTCATTTTCTTTCCTTCCTTCTTTCTTTCTTTTTTTCTCTTCCTTTCTCATTTTTCATTTTCCTTCCCTTTTTCCTTCCTTCCTTCTCTCTGCTTCTTTCTCCATTTTCTCTTTCATTTTCCTTCCCTCTATCTTGCTCTCTCCTTCCTTTTTCTTTCATTTTCCTTCCTTTTCTCTCTCCTTCCTTCCTTCCTTCCTTCCTTCCTTCCTTCCTTCCTTCCTTCCTCATTTTTCTCTTTTCATTTACCTTCCTTCTATTTTTCCTTTCATTCTCCTTCCTTCTTTTTTTCTTTCTTCCCTCCCTTATTTTTCCTGTTTCATTTTCCTTGCTTCTTTTCTCTACCTTCTGTTCTGTTTTTTTTTCATTTTCC